TTGACCTTGTAAAAAATTTTAATGTAGAAAATCGGCATCCTCGCGAAAAAATTACATTAAAATATCTTTTTACTGTCTTAAAATAGAAAAGAGGAAAATTTTAAATTGGGTGAGACACTTAAAATGATTCTGGAACAATTCATTTTAAATCCACTGCCATATCGAAAACGGTAAGAGAAAGTATACTAAACTATATATTTTTGAAATTAGCTAAAATATGTCTACCTGACCATGCTAAAATATGTGGGGGTTTCCATTTAAAAAAAATCAAGATGGCGTCGTATCTGTCAAAATTAACGTTTTAAAAAATTTTGGTGTAGAGAATCGGCATCCTCGCGAAAAATTACATTAGAAAATCTTTCTACTATCTTTAAATACCAAACAGGAAAATTGTAAACCGAGTGAGACACTTAAAATGATGTCCCTGTACAAGTACATATAACTTTGGTATGTACACCCTGTACATTTCAAAATAATTTTAAATTGTGCACATTACCTCCCCACATATACCCATAAAATATTGTGTTTCTACATCTTTCCGAGTTCGTATAATCAACCGAGGCGAATGAGGTGCGCCACCCTGTATAATTAAAGATGTTGACTAAATAGTTATTAAACTGAAATCATAAATTTGAAACGTTTTTGTACCAAAACAGAAACTGTTTTATCGTCATTTTTTGTAGAAAAAATTATGATTAATTAAAAAATATAAAAATGTTCAAATTTATTATTTCAGTGAAATAACTATCTACTCAACGTGTGTTTATTTTTCGTCAATAATGACATGTATTGACTACCGTATGATCGAGAAAAAACGGCGTCAACGATGGCTATGAAATGAAGATCGCTGTCATTTTATATGTAAATTTATATGGGAAATGTCATCGATCGTCATTTCCCAGCCAACTGGACGCCATTTTTTTTCGATCATACGGTATTTCTATTCTAAATATCTTAAGAACGGTTGCTCGTATCGATTTTTACAAAAAGATATTTTTTACGTAAAAAGTTACAGAGATGTATATTTTTTCGCTCGGTAGTTTTATACAGGTACGCACAAAAAGTTATTACGCTTCAAAACAGTTAAACACATGTAGGTGGCGCCCTCTACTAGTAGGAGTCATATTGACATCAAAATCAAATTTGTCATGTCAAAAAACTCCCAGACACCAACTTTCATCGAAATATTGACGTTACTTCAGAAATTATTTAGAAAAAATCGAAATAAAAATGAAACTTCTACACCCTGTATCTCTGAAACTAAGCATTTTAGGACCTACATTTATACGAACTTTTTTATTTATTTTTATCTGCAGAATATGCTGCCGAAGTTTCCGGAATACAATTCGGACCACCCTGTATATCCAATGGGGGGATCCGTGGCAGTGACATTTGTGTCTCAATAATTTCATGCAGTGAAGAGGAAAAGAAGCATTTTGAGCTTTTTATTTCATCTAGTTAATTTTTGTCACATAATTATACGTTTATATCTAGTTTTAATTCTGTAATAATTAAAATATGTTTTAAACGTTATCTTTTTATTACCGTTGAATATTTTATTCTATATCCTTTAATTTTTCTTAAATTAACAAAAGGTATATCACAGCCACTTAGATTATAACAAATAATAAAAATGAACCTAAATACTACAACCTTAATCTTTATCTGAGGGTTAGGCAACCTTAATAGTATTTTGAATTCTCCATTAACTATCGGAATAATATACTGAGCGTTCAATTTAAAATAAGGGAGTAACTTGCTTTTAAAAATGACCATTGTTCAATATTACTTTTGTCTCGCCCCGTATAACTTTTCGGGGCAAAAATTTTAATTAGGTTTAACATACAATGATTATTTTAACTAAATATGAGGCTATACAGGATAAATTACAATTTAGGTAGCTTGGTAGATATTGAAATTTAAATTTTATTCTTCATTTTCACAAAAAGTGAAATATTTCAAAAACCTTACAGTTTAGGCACACGCTTCTTTAATAAAACTCCGAAAATCAATTAATATATAGGGTGTTCCATTACAAAAAACCGAAGTTTGATGCGTAACTTTTTTTGGGTACACCGTGTAGAACTCTATATATTTTTATAAAATGCTTTCAATTAACCTACATATACTACCAAAATTTCGTTTCTATGTATACCGGGTGCGTTTCAAAAGTAGCTCACCCCAGAACTTTTTTATTTTCTCAGATAAAAAAACGAGATTTGGTATGTTAGTATAAGACATAAATTAGGATTGATTGACGTATTCAATTGTTTTCGGTCACTTCCTGTTTCACCGGAAATGACTACAACTTTTGATTAATAGCACCCTCAGTATTTTTTTACTTTATTCTTAGTTGACATATCATATGTCAACTTTTAACATATTCGCTCAAAAACCAATTGCATTTTAGATTTCAATCTAGAGTGCCATGGCTGTGTTTTAATTTTTAATCAAGGAGCCTTGGAAAAATAGATTTGATTGTCTAATATTTTTTAGTGTTTTGTCCTGGCCGGTTAAAAGATGCCCAAACCGTATTTTTAATCATATCTCAATTTTTTCAAATGGAATGAGGGTGGCTCATTAGTATATTTGAAAAAAGCATTTTTTTACGAATAATTTGATACCACACACTTGGTATTTCGAGTCAAATTTTCGTTATGAACCACAGGTTACAATGTTAAATAAACCAAATGCGAAAATATGAAAAGTTGACATATGATATGTCATTCTATTCAGATTGCCATTTTCTATCGAATAAGGTAAAAAAATACCGAGGGTGCCATTTAAAAATCAAAAGTTATAGTCATTTTCGGTGAAACCGGAAGTGACCGAAAACAATTGATTATGCCAATCAATCCAGATTTATACCGGGTGTTGCATCGTCGAGCGGGACATAGGAAATCCCACGTAAATTTTAATGGGGTCAATTATTGGCTTCGCTAATTATTTTAGAGAATAATTCTATTTAGGTTTATTGAAGAGCACTAAAACCCACATTCAAAAGAATAACTTTAGATATTTTTGATTAGCCCGTTTACGAGTTATCGCCGATTTCTTTTTAAATATTTCTCCTTTCTTATGGCCCTGTATTTACTTATCAGCACCAGTCAAGGTAAAAGATAACTGTCAAATGAAGTTGTCATTTCAGAAATTTACCTATTTAGTGCTTTATTATTATTGAAAACTCATTCCTACATCGGAAATCTTAAAGCTGTATTTATATAAATTAATACGAATTAAAGTAAAATAAAGTAATCAATTACAAGGTTAATTATAGTATTATTACAATATTCAATAACTTATTAATTTAGGTACAATTAAATTGTTAGAACTTTAGGATTTAAGATGTTCAAATATTTCTCCATCGACTGCTAGACAATAACCCATAATATTGCATTCGGCAGAAATAGCATTTTTTAACTCGTCTAGATTTGGGTATTTTTTTATCCTTGTATATCCTGTTTTTTAAATGGCCCCAGAGAAAGAAATCATTTGACGAAATATCAGGAGACCTTGCTGGTCAATTTACTGTATGATTTAGGCCAATAACGTTTCCGTTAAAATTATTGTCTAAATATTCCCGAACAGCCAGAGTACTATGTTTACATTATTGGCCTAAATCATACAGTAAATTGACCAGCAAGGTCTCCTGATATTTCGCCAAATGATTTCTTTCTCTGGGGCCATTTAAAAAACAGGATATACAAGGATAAAAAAATACCCAAATCTAGACAAGTTAAAAAATGGGATATATATGGGTTATTATATATGGGTTTATATGGGTTATTGTCTAGCAGTCGATGGAGAAATATTTGAACATCTTCTTAAATCCTAAAGTTCTAACAATTTAATTGTACCTAAATTAATAAGTTATTGAATATTGTAATAATACTATAATTAACCTTGTAATTGATTACTTTATTTTACTTTAATTCGTATTAATTTATATAAATACAGCTTTAAGATTTCCGATGTAGGAATGAGTTTTCAATAATAATAAAGCACTAAATAGGTAAATTTCTGAAATGACAACTTCATTTGACAGTTATATTTTACTTTGACTGGTGCTCATAAGTAAATACAGGGCCATAGGAAAGGAGAAATATTTAAAAAGAAATCGGCGATAACTCGTAAACGAGCTAATCAAAAATATCTAAAGTTATTCTTTTGAATGTGGGTTTTAGTGCTCTTCAATAAACCTAAATAGAATTATTGTCTAAAATAATTAGGGAAGCCAATAATTGACCCCATTAAAATTAACATGGGATTTCCTATGTCCCGTCCGACGAAGCAACACCCGGTATAATATACTAACATACCAAATCACGTTGTTTTATCTGAAAAAATAAAAAAAGTTATAGGGGTGAGGCACTTTTGAGACGCATCCGGCATAAACTGCCGTTTTCCTTGGAGCCTCCGCGTCGTAAGAGAGGAGCCACCCTGTATATGCAAAATATAAAAGGTAACCCTCGTATTATCTCGTTATTGTTTCTCAAAGATAACGAAAAATAAGTTAACAAATGATCTAAATACAATACATTAGACTAGATGAATCTACGTTTGTTATTGCACGCACCACCTTCATTAAAATTCTCTGAAAACATCTTAAACAAACATAACACACTTTCGGCAGAGCTTATCGTTAAAAAGCCTGTACCAATATATTCCGAGTTATCCATGCCTACTGCAAAAACAAACATTAGCCGCACCGTTTTTTCAAAAAATCTATATTCGACCAGCCGAAATAGATTTATTTATGCGCTCCATCAAACCCAATTCAAACAAAGTTAACTTTCTGTTTGGCCGGTATATTTGAACATACGCTAATCCAATCACGCTCTAGGCGTATGATTTATCTTTGTTTACTTTTGTTAAAATTTTGGATGGGAGAGGCGGGCGAGACGAGGTATAAACTACTCAATGGAATATTTTCGCATTAATGTGCGAATTTGCTTCTAATTGCCACGTGGGAATAGAAAAAAACAGGCTTGTATACTGACCTTGTCGTTGCAAGTTCCCAAAAACGGTAGCTGAAACAGGAAAAAAATAAAATTATTAATAAAAAGCTTCTGGTATATTTTTAAAACAGCTGCCGCCATCTATTGACGGCCAGCGAAACTTAGACGATCGAATTGTAGGTTGCGTTACACGTAAATAACATCATTAAATCGCTTGTACAGTCGCTCAGTGATAGATGGCGAAAGAGTCGCTGTAGTTTCAATTTAAAAATAAATATACAGAGTAGTCCGAACTGTATTCCGGAAACTTCGGCAACATATTCTGAAGATAAAAATAAGTAAAAAAGTTCGTATAAATGTATGTCCGAAAATGTTTAGTTTCGGAGTTACAGGGTGTAGAAGTTTTATTTTTATTTCGATTTTTTCCAAATAATTTCTGAAGTAGCGTCAATAATTGGATAAAAATTGATGTTTAGGAGTTTGTTGACATGAGAAATTTGATTTTAATATCAATATGACTCCTATTTGTAGGAGGCGCCACCTACATGTGTTTTAACTGTTTTGAAGAGTAATAACTTTTCTCGTCCGTACCAGTAAAAAAATATACATTTCCGTGATTTTTTACGTAAAAAATGTCTCTTGGTAAAAATCGCTACGAACAACCGTTCTCAAGATATTTAGAATGGAAATAGTAAATACACGTTATTATTGACCAAAAATAAACAATGTTGAGTAGATAGTCTGTGATAGTTATTTGACTAAAATGATAAATTTGGGAACTTCTTATTTTTTCTAAATTAATCATAATTTTTTTTCGAAGAAATGATGATGAAACTGTTTCTGTTGAACTTTTGGCAAGAAAACATTTCAAATTTATGATTTCAGTCTAATAACTATTTAGTCAACATTTTTAATTTATGTCAATAATGACAAGTATGGATAATTTCGATTCCAAATATCTCGAGAACCATTACTCGTAGCGATTTTCACCAAGAGACCTTTTTTACGTAAAAAAAACGTCGTAAATGTATATTTTTTTACTCAGCGGTTTTATACAGGTATGGACGTAAAGTTATTACTCTTCAAACCAGTTAAAAATATATAGGTGGCGCCCTCTACAAATAAGAGTCATATGGACATCAAAATCAAATTTCTCATAACAAAAAACTCCTAGGCACCAATTTTCATCAAAATATCACGTTGCTTCAGATATTATTTGGAAAAAATCGAAATAAAAATGAAACTTCAACACCCTGTATCTCCGAAATTAAGCATTTTATCTTTATCTGTAGAATATGCTGCTGAAGTTTCCGGAATACAGTTCGGACCACTCTGTACAAGGTGTCCCCGTCACCGTAACATATTTTTTTGTATTATAATAGAACTTAAAAAAAAAGAAAATTAAATTAATAAATTTAAAATTAAAATTAATAAAAAATATAATAAAATTAAATATTAATAAATCAATTAAATTAAATTTGATAACAAATTCATTCATAAAAAAGTGCTAAGGATAATAAAATCATTAATTTGTCATTATTTATCTGATAGATATGTGAAAAAGTTATAAAGTTTTATGCACAGAGTGGACGAAATTGATCTGTTTTAATAGAATAATCCCCATTTTAGTCTAGATAGAGCAAAACCATTGTATCATGAAAACCGACATAGACGTTCTCGATTTCTGAGATATGCATATACCACTTGTCGATATTTTCACTGCAAATCCAGATACAGGGTCACATTTTGAAAATTGCCCATAACTTTTACAGAATAATATAATTCTGCAAAAAAAGGCTTTAAGCATAAAGCCCTTTTTTTAAGCACAACCTAGACCTAGTGGCGTATTCAGTGTTTTGTATATTTGCTCTTTTCATTGTCAGAAATAAAAATATATAATAACATATATAAAAATAGCAGGTTAGTTGTGACTGACTAAGTTAAGAAAAAACTCAAAATTTAAGTGAGGATGCAGTCAATAATCACCACATAGGCTAATAAAACTACTTTTTTCAAATTTGTCAAGCTTTCGAGAATTTTATTCCCATCATCAGGACAGTTTGACTGAGTCAATTAGCAAAAAAACATCCTCTGCACAAAAAGGCCTTAAAAACTAGCATCGTATGACATTGGAATACAAGGACATTTCCTTTATAAAATATTAAAATACATATCCAACGATATTACTTTTCTTTTAAACACAAACAAAAAATATTTTTTTTAAATTTAATTTCTACATTGTTATTTCCAGCTCCTTTCCAGATTTTTTCCAAGGCTGCTTGATTAAAAATTAGTGTTTTTAACATAGCCATGGTACTCTAGATTTAAGTTTAAAATACGACTTGTTTTTAAGCGAAAATGTCAAAAGTTGACATCTCATATGTGTCATTCTATTCAGAGTGTCATTTTCTATCGAATAAAGTAAAAATATACCGAGGGTGACATTTAAAAATCAAAAGTTATAGTAATTTCCGGTGAAACAGGAAGTGACCAAAAACAATTGAATACGTCAATCAATCCTAATTTATGTCATATACTAACATACCAAATCTCGTTTTGTTTTCTGAAAAAAATAAAAAATTATAGGGGTGAGCGAGACTATATCTGAGTTTTTACTCCTGTATGAAAAAGAACAAATAACTTGGAACCCCAGAAATAATGCACATAAAAATAGAAATGAAATACAGGACGGCTGCCTGAGAATACATCAAAAGTTGAGTATCAATTGCACCATGAACGAATTAAAAAATTAATTAATTAAAGAATTAAAAAAGAAGAAGAGTTGTTCTAGTCTTTTTAGTTCGTAAAATACAGGACGAATTTTAAAATGTTGCATTTTTCGATTCCATCGTATATCGGTTATCTTATAACTTATCGAAAAGGTGAAAACTCAGTCTCGTTTAGTTTTTTACGTAGAATCCAGTGATGTTAGCTAGTTTCGCTGATGATTCTCATTTTCGAAATCTGACTTCTATTTTTTAAATGAGACACCCAGTATATTTTTTATATTATTTGCCTTGTTATGGGCTTTCTGAAAATATGATATACTCTAAAATTATATTTTCATAAATAAGGCAAAAAAATATTATTTAACTTTTGAACATAAATAACCCTAGTTAAAAAAAGTATTATTATCTTATTTAATTTAATTTAACCAGATGATTTTGGCTTTCCATCTTGTTATCTTAATAAACTGCACTGAAAATAAAGTTGCGGAATAAATTATTTGATTGTATGAATTTAAACCGATAGTCTATGTTAAAAAGTTATATAATGTATTTTTTGTTCTCTGTCTCTCGGTCGGCCGTGAGATCGCAAGTGCGAAAATACACATTGGCGCGTCCTGGCTCGGCGATTCGCGCGCCAGGCGCGTGGATCGGCAAGCCACACGCCGTGTAATGGCACCTTAAGGAGTTTATGTATCAAATTAAATACTTTTAAAAAAACTTTACATTTTAATAGACAGCTGACAGGTTTAAGCAAAATGAATATAAAAAGCAACAAAAATAAATAAATTAGGAATGAAAGTATAATTTTCGGGGATGTGCTTAATAATTATACCATACTATCGAAAAAACGGTGTGGGAGATAGCTTTAAAATGAAGATCGCTGTCGTTTTGTATGTAAAATTATATGGGGTATGCCGGGTATGTGTGTATTTTTTAGTAACAAAATTTTATGTAATACTAAAACACTACACAGCTATTATTATACATATTTAACTTTTTTTAACTTTTACACTGAACTAAAAAGCATCACGAGAAACGATAAAAAAGTTATATTTATGTACTGTCCAAGTTGAAAAATTCTAAATTTTGAAAATATATCATTCTCTAGATAACAGAAACCGACACTCTGATATTTATAGCGTATGTCTGAAACTAAATCGTAAAAAAGTGCCAAAAATAACTAAAAAACACTTAAAAATACCATGGCGTGATAAAATTATGATTTAGTGTCGTCAAAATGTTCTTGTTTACAAAATAAGAGAATACTTAAGGAAAATTCTTGTTTGAAGGAATTATAATAAGAAGAAATGCAAAAAAAGTAGGTGATTTGAAGAAACAAATACAAATAAATAATATAACAATAAACAAACAAAAATAAAAATCTTTATACAGGGTTGTTCACCACATACGACGCGGAGTACTGTAGCTAAATGATTTGATTTTTACAAATTCTAAGTTTTGGGTTCGTTGAAGCACTATTAGAGCTACAATTTAAAAATATTTTCACAAGATACAGAGTGTCCCAAATAAAGAAAAAATATCAAAGTTGTATTTTTTTAAATAGAACACCCTGTATATTATTAAATTTTTAGTTTATTCGATTAAAATGAAGGTAAATTTGATTAATTAAGGTTCATTACACTTAAACCTTTTTTGAAATAGTTTCAATTTTGTGAAATTGCAGTAAAAATTTTAAGGCTTCATTTCTTCAAGGGTATCAAAGTTTTAATACTAAATATTTACTGAAGTTTATTTATTGATCAGTTATTGTGTTGCACTAATAAAAATAATACTACCTCATACAGAGTGTCTAAAAATTTATTTTAAATAATTTCTAGCTTTAAACGGCAATAACTTGTTTAATTTACATGGAACGCCCTGTATATTTTAGGAGAATCAGATGTATCAAATTGTATTATACCACTTTTTACCTATCCCTTCAAGTTTTCGTAAAAAATGCATTTTCTTATAATTTACACCTCATTTATCAATATACCCGTGAAATATTGACATTTTAGATTGTTTTTAAAGCAACAAATCAACAAATGTACAGGCTAGTAATATTACCGTTTTAAGCAAAACAATAATAATACTAGCCCATTTGTATGTAAAAAGAAAACTATATAAATCTTTATAAAAGAGTATACCATTAATTAAATATACCACCATTATTTCCGCCCAAATACTAATTAATTACATACTTAACGGTGTTCGTTAATAAATTATTCTAAATAAATGTGGATTTGAATCAGAAATCAATATAATAATAAGTTATGAAAATGAATGTATCTGTTGTCATAAATAAGCATTTGTCAAAAAATGAAATATCATTTTTAAGGTGTT